TGGGTAGCAATTGCTTTGCCACCTTAAAAAAAAAATTAGGCTGGGTGCAGTGGCTCATGCTTGTAACCCCAATGCTTTGGGAGGCTGAGGTGGGAAGATTGCTTGAGCCTAAGAGCTTGAGGCCAGCCTGGGTAACATAGTGAGAGCCCATCTCTACAGAAAATTTTAAAACTTAGCTGGACATGGTGGTGCACATTTGTGGTCCCAGCTACTCAAGAGGCTGAGGTGGAAGGATCTCTTGATCCCTAGAAGTCAAGGCTACAGTGAGCCATGATCGTACCACTGTACTTCAGCCTGGGTGACAGAGTGAGATCTTGTCTCAAAAAAAAAAATGCGGAGAAAGCTTTTTTGGCTTTTCCCAGAAGTCCCGCTAGTAATGTCTGCTTCCATCTCACTAGCCAGGATGTGGTAGAAATGCAGTGGTAGCCCCGTAGGAAATCACCTCATGTGCTGCCTCCCACCCACAGGCTTCGCAGGGCATGGTGGGTCAGCTGGCGGCACGGCGAGCAGCTGGAGTGGTGCTGGAGATGATCCGGGAAGGGAAGATTGCCGGGCGGGCAGTCCTTATTGCTGGCCAGCCAGGCACGGGGAAGACGGCCATCGCCATGGGTAAGAAACCTCCCAGGGCAGGAACTCTCCTGGTCCCTGGTAAATAACTCCTCCTGTGTGAGTCGGGGTCAGGATCAGCTGCATTTAACAGGTGACCCAAAGTGGCGGTGGCTTAAACACTCAGAATTCGTTCTCGGCTGTGGAAGAATCTAGAGGTAGGCCATTTGGGGCTTATTAAGTAGTTCCAGGAAGTCTTCCGTCTTCCTGCCTCATCATCCTCTGCACTTGGTTCCAGTGTCAAGAGGACGTCGTGTTCCAAGAGGGCTGCCGGAGCTCCAGCCTTCGCATTCATAATCCAGGCAGCAGGAAGAAAAGAGTTAGCATGAGGGTGAACCCCCTCGAGTTGGCTTCCTTTAAGCAGTCATCTGGGAAATCCTCCATGCTTCTGCTTATATCTCATTGACTAGAATTTAATCATATGATCACACTCTGCTTCTGGGGAGGCTGGGACATTAGATGTTTGTTTAAATTTCATAATTTGGACCATTTTTGCCTTAAGAAAATGAGGATTCTTCTGTTGGACAACAGGTTGTGAAAATAAGAAATTTTAAAAAAGAAAATAGGAAAGAAAATGAGGGTTCTGGAACTAAGGAAGAAGGGGAAGGTGGGTATTGAGGAGTCACTCAGCATCTCTGTTGCAGTCTACTAGTGATTTATGATTTTTTCACTCCCAGCTGTTCTTCTTCTTCCTTGTTGAACTCCTATTTATCCTTCAAAACCCTACTTCAGCATCTCTGCCCCACTGAAGCTTTTCCTAACCCACTGCTCTTCCCACTCACTCCCACCTCTGTGCTGAGGATGGGGCCAGGCAGGGAGCATCAGAGTAACAGCCAGGTCTTCAGTGAAGATAAAGCAGTGCCTGTTGGGGTGCCAGGCCTTGCACTGGACACTGGGGACCCATAGATGAGTTAGACCAAGGCTTGACTTCAAAGAGCTCCTGGTCTGGAGGAGGTGGTCATGGACACGATCCCTTCCAAGGTGACATGTGTTACAATGGAGGTAGCATGTGACAGAGGAGGCACCTGACCTTGGTAGGAAAACGGGGCATGTGGTGGCATTTGTCAGTAGAGGCTTCCAGAGAAGTGGATACCTGAGCTAAGCCTAGTAGGATAGCCAGGAGGCTCCTGGGCGGACACTGGGGACAGCATGTCCAGGCCCAGAATGTGGCACACACAGTGCCTGCCTTACCTCCATCCTTTCTCCTTTCCTCTTCCTTTTTTTTTTTTTTTTGAGATGAAGTCTCGCTCTATGGCCCAGGCTGGAGTTCAGTGGCCGGATCTCGGCTCACTGCAAGCTCCACCTCCGGGATTCACGCCATTCTCCTGCCTCAGCCTCCCGAGTAGCTGGGACTACAGGCGCCCGCCACCTCGCCTGGCTAGTTTTTTGTGTTTTTTAGTAGAGACGGGCTTTCACCATGTTAGCCAGGATGGTCTCGATCTCCTGACCTTGTGATCCGCCCATCTCGGCCTCCCAAAGTGCTGGGATTACAGGCTTGAGCCACCGCGCCTGGCCTTTTTTTTTTTTTTGAGACAAGAGTTTCACTGTGTTGCTCAGGCTAGAGTGCAGTGGTGTGATCTTCGCTCACTGCAACCTCTGCCTCCCGGGTTCAAGTGATCCTCCTGCCTCAGCCTTCCAAGTAGCTGGGATTACAGATGTGTGCCACCACGCCCAACTAATTTTTGTATTTTTAGTAGAAATGGGATTTCACCCGGTTGGCCAGGCTGGTCCCAAACTCCTGACCTCAGGTGTTCCCCCTGCCTGCCTCGGCCTCCCAAAGTGTTGGAATTACAGGCGTGAGCCTGTAGACTTTACTTTTTAGGCATGTTGTGACCATGCCTGGCCTTGCCTTTCCTCTTCTTGTGTCTCCCAGGCAAAGCCTCCTGCAGGCCAAACCCTGTGCTGGGCAGCACTGGGGTGAGGCTGGCCTCGCCCTGAGGGGGACGCTCCTTAGTCTAGTGAAGGAGGCAGAGAGGACCCCTGGTGTCCCCAGGTGGCATGGGCCATGCTCGTCCACTCAGTCGTCAGCAGATACTTGCCGAGTTCTGTGCTGAGGGCCATTGTGCATCCGCCAAGGGGACCAAGAAGAGGTACCACTTGACACTGGGCAGGAGGGTGTGGCAACAGCCTGTCTGTAAGGGCATGCCCCACATTGGGCCAAACCTTGTGGCCAGGAAGCTGGAGGGAAAGGTCTGGCGCTCAGAGCCATTGCTGGAGACAGCCTTGCTTCCTGCCAGCCACCCCAGGCCACAGGCGGTCGAGCGCCCTGCCCTGTGCCGGTTTCAGGCTGTGCAACCATGTTACCGCTGAGCACCAGTGCCTGCCTGCCTGCCTGCCCATAGTTGCTCCTAAGCAGGGTGTCATGCCATGCCGGCACCTGTTCTGTTATCATCCCCATCAGAAAAGGGGGAAACAGACTCGGGGAGCCGTCCAGATCACACGGTGCCGACTGCACTAAGTGGTGGATCTGGGGTCAGAGCTCAGGCAATCTGCCTTCATCACTTGTGACTATTGTGGCAGCCCCTTGGCCTTCGTCCCTGCTCCCCATCGCCCAGCTCTGAGGCTAAACAGCTCATAGAGGCTGGGAGACTGAGGTGTAGCGAGGTTCTAGGGTGTACACTCTGGGCAATGTGGGATTCTAAGCCAGGCCTGCCAGAGCAACCTGCCCTCCCTGGCTTCTCGTTCACTGTCTGCCTCGTGGCTAAACCCCTCTCTCCAGTTCCCCCTCCCCAGGGCTCTGCTCAGCTCAGAGCCAAGTCCTTACATGTAGGATGGCACTGAACCCTCTTTCCTGGGGTGGGAGAAGAGCTAGTTTGCCACAGAGCAGGTGTCGGGGACCTAGGGCCAAAGCGGCTTCACCTACCCGGACTGCCTCCTCCCCAGGCATGGCGCAGGCCCTGGGTCCTGACACACCATTCACAGCCATCGCCGGTAGTGAAATCTTCTCCCTGGAGATGAGCAAGACTGAGGCGCTAACGCAGGCCTTCCGGCGGTCCATCGGCGTTCGCATCAAGTAAGCAGACGACCCGAGGCGGGTGCCAGTCCGCAGAGCCTGGGAGCAACTCCACGCCCCGGGCGGCTTGTCCTTTGTCCCGGAGCTCGGGGAAGGTTGTGATTCCCGAGGGCACAGGTGTCAGGCTGTCTCCTCAGATCTGCTCTCTGGCTAGGGAGGAGACGGAGATCATCGAAGGGGAGGTGGTGGAGATCCAGATTGATCGACCGGCAACAGGAACGGTGAGTCTGTGTGAGTCCGTACCCTGCTGAGGCCACCTCCAGCGCCAGGGTTGGAGACAGTAGGTGTCAGGTGTGCACTGAGGTCAGAATCCCATGGAATGTTCTAGCTGCAGACTAGAGCCCAAAGTGCTGGGATTACAGGCGTGAACCACCGTACCTGGCCTTTTT